TAACTATTTGTAATAATTGTTTTTGTAAATTGTATTGTTGTTTGTATATTAAAACATATTTGTGTTAAAAACGAAAACGGTGTGTATCAATCTTGTTGGCAAATATCATAAACTGACTGATATATCTGTTTTAATTTAAATACTAAATCTAAATTACAATTAAACTACTAAGTTTAAAGTACCAGTTAACTTAATTTCAGACCATTTGAAATTACAATATGTAACAGAATGTATATATACTCTACAGTTCATAAGATCTTTGTGTTATTTGTGACTAATACTTACTTAACTACTTTTAGTTAGTCTAGACCGAAATAAAAATAACAGATAAAGTGACGTTTCAAGTAATGAATCCTTCTTCAGGACACTTTCAGCGTTATGTGAAATCCTTGTCACTTTTCTTCCTCCTTATTTCATCGCTACTTCTATGTTGACATTACTCTCAAACCTAACTTATTTTATTTTACTTTCGTTCAGGATACTCTCCGAGGGAGAAACTTCACACGATCACTGCGTTGATTGGCGAGGACGTTACTCTTCCGTGTGCCTTTGAGTTCCCAGATGGCAAAAAAGTGCCCTACATCGTCAACTGGAATAGAGAGAACGTGAAAATTCCATTTTTTATGTGGTATGACGGTTACCCGCCACATATGTCGGAAAATTACCGAGGCCGTGTTTCATTAATAAAACCGGCATCTTTGAACTTGACCAATGTCCAAGATTCTGACCAGGGATGGTTCATCTGTTCTGTGTTTTTCCTCAACCGCGTGTCAGATATGCCTCACAACACGTCCAGAGTCCAGTTAAAAGTGCACGGTAAGTCATACTTACTTTGCACAAAATAAGAAAATTCTAAAAGCTTACACAACTATCGAAATATATCCAAGTATTACACTTCACTTAGCATAAGCCATTATTTACGGTTGTGAAACGATTCTGGCACTGATTTCATTTACATATTATATTTTTAGTAAGAGTAAATATAAATAGATATTCTCTGTGGTAAACACATTGAGTATAGAATAAAAAAAAATGCTTATTAATTCAGCCTCACAGTAAATGTTGTAATATAAATTCAACAGTATCGTCTTAAAAACTTTCTTTGACAGTTAGATATTTAATCCGAATATGTGTAAGCAGTGTAACCGATTTGTCAAGCAGTTTAATGGAAACTTATATTTGTGTACTTTTACTTCTCTTAAAAACACGTGAAGGGTTAGAGCAATCTAAGAGCCTGAAAATGTTATTCCTGGTTCATTTAGTTGAGGGTATGACTTAAGTAATATGGCTATTATATATCTTAAATATAAGACAACAATAAACATAATGGGTCGTTAAACTTGCTAAAGTTGTAAATTGCTATCTAGTGTCGTTAGAGTTGTTTAATTTGTTTCTCGAAAGGGGGACGAAGACCGCCTGGAGTGGTCGCCTGTTTTAACTACTCCCACCACGATACACTAGTGTGTTGTCCATCAGTTAGTCAGTATACACTAAATTGACGTCACATAAGGGATACTTAACGTTGCAATTTGTGCTGTCGTGACGGAAGTAAAACGTGCGCATCCATGAATCACGAGAAGAATTATGCACTCTGTAGGCTACAACACAGCATAACATATAAACTTCAAAAGCAAAAAATTAAAGTACTTGTTACACCTAAGTTTGGTTTTATTTACTCTTGATAAAGAACACTTTCGAAGACCCTACATAAGTACGTCTAGCAAGTAACTCTCTATGAGAAGTGGCTCTCTTAAAGCAGAATCTTGTCTTAAAGATCTGTACATGTAACGAAGAGCATAAAACAATGAACTGTAATACAGTTTTATTCAGGTTATGTGCTCATGTATTCCTGTTCAATGGAGTAAAAAAATAAAGATGTAGCAGAAAATCATATATCTAAATTTTTAGGGTTGCTTGGGTTCTTTCTTTCTTTTATGGTGACAGATGTTCTTCCTAAAACCTTCTAGAATGTTGACGTCATACAACATGTTGGTGAGAGATGACACAGGAGGTGGGAGGCATAAACATACCAGCTGCACTAACCTTCTGGACAGTATATAATACTGTTAGGTATCTGCTTGTTTGTTAATTTCCAGTAGAAATTCTTTCTGAGGAACTTCAGTGATACAAGTCCTTTCTTTATTAAACCAGTTTATTCTTCCTTGATAAAAACTTTTAGTACACAGTAATTCCACAGTCAATACGTTTTTCCTCACTTTTAACTTAACAACTTTTATAATACACACTATAAATCAAGTGATTCACACACTTACCGTCACTACTGTTCGCTTCTTTAATTATCTATCTATCGCTGGCTTCTCTGCCAGACTTATATATTAACAAAGGAGGCGTTTCGAATGCACTCGAACCTCCCCAATCATTCATGATCATTCGAGAAATTTCTAGCACACTACCAGCGCCAAACGCGCCAGCAGCGTCACGTGACTTTCACTGTCGTAACAATATCCCCCTTGCCCAGCTTGTGCTGATTACGGTTACCTAGAGTGAGCTGTTAATAACTGTACTAACAAGGGGATTTCTAAATAACAGTTCGTTAGAATATTGAAATTTGGAATGGTTTTATGATTTTAATCATAATTAGAATTAATAGGAGAACTGGCGGTAGGCAAAGATGGCGAAGTGAAGGTCGAGGCTTTCATCCCAGATTTCGACAATTATCGACAAAGAAAAAGGATTATGGCCAGGGTTAAAGTTGGCGGGGATCTATAAATCCAATTCTGTAGAATTTGTTGGAGGGAGGGGAAGTGCACCGAAAAACCATCTTCATAGCACTGGCGTTGAATAGTCTACCTGTCTTGTGCCCAAGCCATAAGGCAAAGACATGTAGTTGGTTAAATAAACGTATACAGAGCTCTTGCTGTGTGTATGTGTGGTGTTCTATGTTTGGATGATACATATTGTATGGAGATATTGTTTTGTGTGGTGCACATATAAAGGTGTGAAGGGCAAAGGTTAGTGAGTATGTTATTTCTTCTTTTTATAATAAAATTTAGCCTAAGTTTTTAAGTAATGGTAGCTAATGGGGAGGAAAATTGGAAGCCTTAGGCTAATCTTAATATTATATTATGTTGCCATTGTAGTTTCTTTTACATATCTATAGTAACTTGGCAGCCGTATCCAGTAATGGGCCGAATATATAATTTGTAGATTTTTAAGATAGTGTTAGCTTTACGTCCTATATTTTTGCCAGTCTGAAGTAGTTAACACGTTTACTGATGATTTAATGTGTTTTATTCATATGTTCTGCCCATGTGAGTCTTGTAAAGAGTAGCACCCAGGTGGGCTTAATTGTTGGAGTTTCAATTAAAACTACTTGTTACACCAAATTTATTTATTGGAGGAT